TACAGACAGCCTCTTCCCAATATGCGTTTTTGCAATTTGCATATATGCAAGGACGCATAAAGAATGAGGTTCCGGGGTGTCATGATGGTAATTTTTCTTCCAAAAAGCGTTTACAGTCCCCTCCAGCATATCAGCCACTCACTGAAAGTAACGAGCTTCAAAGCCTTATTAAATGCAGTCTACACGACAGATCTACATAGAAACGCATTACGGGAAGATATCGCATGCTTTAGTTCGAATGATTCACTTGGGGAACTACAAAAGCCAGGGAACGGTGAATTCTGTTCTCGAGTGTGCCAGGACCGCAAATTACATCTGTTAAGTGCATTTATTCACTTCTGCTTGTAAACACAAAATAAGTAATTACAACAAATAACTGGTAGTGACAAAATAACAACTCTCCAAATAGAAATAAGTACAGTGTGAAAAGACAGAACAAAACGCTCACAATGAACAAATCCCCCTTCCAATATCCACAGAGGGACTACTAAGAGAGCCGACTCAAATACCCAAGCAAGTATTATTTACGTACAAAGCATACTCAATCGGTAAAACAATTCACTGAGTTATTCCCATATCTCAGAAAAGAAATTATCTGTTTTCAATCGTATGCCTGAAACCGGGAAGAAATAAGCAAGTCGGATAATGCAGAGAAATTAGTTCATCTCGCACTAACGTTCGCAGAATCCACCATTACCGAGCAGGACGTTTTTGCTTACAAAGACCACTTAGTTGTATTGAACCCGAAGAATAACTCCCCTACAGCAATGAGAGGTGGTCATACCAAGAAAGTAAATTAGTCACAAATTTCATGTGCACCTATTAAGAAATCCTACACAGAGATGTTTCACCAAGAGAGGGAGAGGGAGCACCAAGAAATTCGGGCGGTACAGCACATTTTGCAGGTCATCGCAGCCAGAGAGCCGAAGAAATTTCACAGCTTTCTAAAATGGTTCGAAAAAAAACTGCCCATACTTTTCAACATAATACGAAGTACGAGAAGCAACACAGTGTTTTTGAAAAATCACATATTCACAGTGTCTTTTTTTGGGGAGATCATTCTAGCTGCCCTCTCCTTAATTAAACTACTGCACTGTACAAGTCAGAATTCAAAAAAAAACACATCATCAAACTTCACAAAAATCATTTTTCTTGGCCCGCATCAAATACTTCACTCGTGTTTAACGGGAATTTCGGTGTCACCAACAAGAGCTTCCTGTGGGGGATTGTAAGGTGCCTTTATCTGGAGAATTCCATCCGCAGTAAAGTGGCACGTCATATCTGAAAAAGAGCAAATAATTGGTCCAGAGCATTTCTGAGCTAAACTGCTAGACCGATTTTGGACCTAAAATCAAATCTAATTTAAGTAGCAGCCCGGATGCTGATTTCTGATCTGGTTCGAACAAAGGCAAGTTTGCTTTTCAACCCTCAATTCCCCCGGACCGTAAAAAGTGAGAATCGCAGTGTGTGCTCGCATACACATGCAAATTAGGTCTCCACCATCCCAACGAGACCAATTCTTACCTCGAATGCAATGACACAAAGGCATTCACCTAAAATCGAAAAGATCACAGGAAGCAGTAGTAGCACCATCACAGCCTCTGGCATTGATGCATAGCTTTACAATGCATTAAAGCTGTGATGCGTTCAGTACAGCTAAGCCAGACTCATTCTCAAACGTGAATTACTTTCGAAAATTCAGAAACTTTAAAAAAGGACCACCTTTACTGACCACACCCTGTGGCAAAGTCAATTTTCGCAAATATTCGAATTTCGACTCATCGTCCTTGTGCTTCGCTTCAACTGTCAGTGTATTATCTTTCGCATTCGTCCTGACGGTAACCTGGAAAGATTTCATGCAACAGCAAATGGAAATAAACCAGAACCCCTGGAGTATAATAATGGATGATAATGAGCAGGAAATTTATACGACTTCTGCCCAACTGTTCCGAGCAAAGCGACAGATTCCCGCGACCTGGACGCCTATGACGTGAACATTTGCTCAAGCAGTTCAAACATCCACAGCGCACTGTCAAAAGTGCTTCTTTTGCAAGATATTGCTCAAAAGTCTGTAGAATAAAGACAAACTAGAACAGTGCTGATGGTCACAGTGTGTTTGTTTAAACTCAAAAATATGCGCATAAAAAACTCATTACCTCTTCGGGGTTAAACCGGCGAACGTCAAGCTCCAGCAAAAACTTTTTAACACCGTCTTCTTCAATGATAGGATTTTTTACGCGGTATGCCTCAATTTGTGAGGGATGCTCACGTACACCTAGAGGCCGAAAACCATCAAACCAATCACGGGAATTCCCTGAAAATTTGAAAGATGTCACAAACACTAGTGACCAGACAAATGGAAATTTACTGATGCACAAAAAAGACCCCCTAAAAGAGTTGAATTTAAGATCTCTTGTTCGCACATGAGTAGGAAACATTCCATTAAAATTCCAACCTTCCAGCTTTCCTCGTTCCCGAGTTAGCAGCTTACCCGCCAAAACTTTCACGTGCCTGCATATGAAGCGTAGACGTGCGTGTCAGCTGTTATCACGCAGACGGGATCGCACTTGCCCACGGAACACACAGGCAAAATTTCAACACCAAAGCTTGTTGGCGAGTAGAAACACCCGGACAGACGAACACACACACACACACACACACACAAACATACACGCACAGACAGGATCGTCGCAATATGCATTTTTGCTGCCTGTTGCAGCGCTCTAAACGAAGTTAGCTTTGTTCCGGATACTTGCATATGGCGCAGTTGAAGTCATCCCGCTTTTTTCCTATTCAGCGTTGGCACCATGCAGCAGTATTTCTGTCATTTTAAGTTCCTTACCAAAACGACACTCATCAATGTGGCACCTCTCGCTCCGTTTTTATGCGTTTTTGCTGTGCAGCGCTATAGCGCTGCTACAACCAGCAAAAACGCATATTGTC